AAAGGCATGAGGTGGCGACATTCTGCTGTGTACTTCTCAATTCCGAGGTATCTTCAATGCTTGACAGAGAGGGCGAACCAACAGGTTCAGGAAAAATCAGAAAGGCAGTCGAGGAGCCAGGCACATTTTAGCTTGTGCACTGTCTGCAGCTTTTGTATGGTCCATGTGCTTCTTCAGGTCCATTTCACTTACCCAAACTTTATACATCACTGGACCTGACCTTGCATGGACCGTGCCTCTTACCCATGGAGGGCCATTCCCATGGTTCCTACACCAAACTGCGTCCCCTGAAGTGACCTCTTTCTCCACTTAGTGGAGTCTTGTGTCCAGCATTAGCGTTTCTGACATAGGCTGACAGTATCCCAAATGGCAATCTCGTATATTGGTACAAACCCTTTTGGGTATTAATTGTAGCATACTTCTGGGAAATCTTCATCGAACCACAATTGCAAGTACACATGGCCCCTGCCTGCTTTGCGTATAAATCTTCTACGTGAGGGATTGGGTATTTTTCCAGCTGCGAAATGCGGTTTACCATTTGTTTAAAATTCCCACAAAGGTAAACCAACGAAATGGGTACAACTACTGCCTATTCTGCCACCTGGACTGGTTTGATGATTCCTCACTTTCCAGCCTTCTTATTTTTGCCTCTGCTTTCGCCCATAAGGCAAATGGCACTGGGCAGGCCTTGAAGAATCATGGAACTGCTCCCTGCTCAACATGCAAGGTGACCTTGGCTCTTTCGATAGTTCCTGGACCTTCCTGAAAAACCTATGGGTATTTAATTGGAACTTCACTCAGAAATATCAACTGAAAAATGTTGATCCAGTTTTTCCCCATCAAGCTGGGCCCAAGCCTTTTATTACATTCAATGGTAACTAAACCAGCTGCTTCTCATAAGAGACCAGAACTGAAGTTGTATTTTTAATATGTGAAGGTTCCCCGGTACAGGTTGTCAATCTAGTTGACTTAGCCATTGGAATCCAGAATGAATTTTGTTAAATACTGGTTCTGTGATCACTGAAATGGCCACACTGATGTCAAACTCCATTAGAACCAGGGGACCATTTAACCAGATGTTTATTTTGATTGGTTCTGATTTGGATGTTGTTAAACAATTTAACTATATCAAACCAGATATAGGTGGCTTTTCCAGGATGTACACTCTCCTGGATACTGGCCTATGAGTTCTGTTACTCAATTTAGGTCTAGTCGGACTCTTTTTTGCTGCCTCGAGTCCGCATACTGGCAGGAACTATGATGGCTTGCCAGCCCGGATTCTGAAGAAAATTTTAACCATTTGGCTGAGGGTTGGCTTTGTTTTGAGGCTTTTGCTGTGGGATGACCTAGAGTCCCTCAATTCAGGATATATCTTAAGTGAGGCTATGCAATTGCCTTCATTCATGTGGTGTTCCCCAAGCTCATTTGGACCGGCGAGGGGTGTCCCCTTCCATTGGAATACCCTGCAATTTATACTCATCGCATTTTCCAGTGGTAAACCCAGTTGTGGTACCTGTGTGAAGTCCAGTTGGACTTCAGCCAGTAGGCACTTACGCATGGTTACATCATTGATCCCATATATGAAATGGCTTCTCAGCATCTCATTAAGGATTAAACCAAAGTCACATGCCTCTGCCAGTTATCTTAACCTAATCAAAAATGCCAATATTCCCTGGTACTCGAATTGCCGAGTAAAACCGATAGAGGGTCAGAATTAGAGGAGTCTTGGGGCCATAATATTCCTGAACTAAATCCATAAACTCTTGAAAGATTTTAGTATCTGATGCCTCAGGGAAAATTAGGCTCCTAACAACCGGAAAAGCTGCAAGTCCACAAGCTGTCAGGAGAGTTGCTCGTTGCCTTTCATGTGCCCCAATGTCATTTGCCTGGATTCTTTCAACATATTGGGCCCAGTCTTTGGCAGGATCAAATGATGCCAGAAATACTTACCCAAACTAAAATAACTCCACAGAGCCTGGTATCCTGTCACCAAGGCCCCCTTTATTTACACGTGGAGAATCCTCGACACTGATCCAGCTTTCAGAATGAACAAAACCTCTAACATCCTGTTTATATCTGTCAGCCAGGGCGCCCTAATTGGAGCTGTTAATCTGGTCCAGTCAGGGAACTCTTATTCTATTAGATCCACCTGGCTGACCTCATTACAGTCGCTACAAGATGATCAGGAATTAGGGACCCCTGTGCAGTGCATAGGTCTGTATGTAATGCTGTTTCCCTTTTAAACTTATCCTTTCATAGGTGGGTTTCGTAGCCCCCCTATACGACCCCACCCCACAACACATCTAAGGCCAAGTCACTTACCACTTCATCTGTGGTCGCAGCCATTTTCTGCCCCATTGCTCACTTTTAATTCCTAGCATGATGGAAGGTGACAATGAGTGCTCTTTGATCAGTGGCTTCCTGCCTCCACCTGTACATATCAGTGAGCCCTCAAACCATCCAAACTCCCTTCCTGGTAGCCTTTCCAGTAAACATCATAGGTTTTGAAACTCCCATGTCCGCACCAAATCCATTTATATTACCATGCAACTGCCCATTTTACCCCATTTCCCCACCCATTCCCACTCCTGTTGAAGCTAGGATGCTCCTGACCATGGACAGATGGTTCCTCTCATCCATGCTCTATGATTTGCTTCCCTCACAATTATTCTGCAGCCCCAATCTTGAAGAATAGCTTGCAAAGTCTCCTTCCCATGGCAACAGTCCCCCTGTCTTTCTCACCCCTCCCCTGCTCCTCAGCCACCCCATCACCCTCACTTTCCCCTTAGTTGCTGTGGACGAACCCTTCAAACTCACTCCCTTAGGCAACCTAATCAGACAATGGGAATATGAAATGTCCAACCCCTTGAAAATTGGCTCTACATATCTCCAGTTGCATTAGCACTTCACCTCCCTAGCTGCAGCTTTTCAATGCTAGTTGCCAGTGTGTTCTGCACTGTAAGTCTTTGTTTCCTGAGCAGCCTACATGTCTGTCCAAGGGGTTCCATGATTTTCGTGAGGGGACGGCAAATGCCAGAGTCCATGAACAAAGGATACATGCAGTTTGTAATTGTGGATCATGCCTTGACTTGCTGTCTGGCCCTAAGCAACATGGAGATCCTTCTGAGCAAGTGGCAAGCTGAAATCACCAGGTGCCTGCTCTGATTTCTATACTGAAATTTCTCATCTGGCTTTTTTGGTGTGTGTGGTAAAATAGGAAGCTAAATATTAATGAGGTACGTTAGGTCATTAGCAGGGTTTTTAACAAACTATAATTCCCCTTAACTGGCAGCTCTCACGCAACTTATTAAAAGCATAAAAGTTGCCGCGTGACACTCTGGACATCAAGATAGGTCTCACTGGAATTCTTGTCTCATTCTATCATAAATCTCACCATTGCCCATGTTGCTTAGACCACCATGAGATTTGTCTGCATTCCTCAGACTTAAAGCCGTGGTAATGAGAGCCCTACCAGGAAGGTGGCCAGGATGAAGACAGCAATGGTTTTAATAGGAACAAGGACATCAAAGCTGGAAGTGGTGTGGTAGTTGAGAAAGTTGGTAGCTGCAGAAATGTGACAAATGGAGGATTAAAGGCTACACCGTTAGGATTATTTTATTTCACTATTTTAAACTATATTACTATTTTAATGTTGTCTGAGAGCTAAGTATTAGCCAAAATGCCTATTCTACCAATAGAATGTATCTTTCATGTCCAGAGCCTCAATTTAATATTCTGCCCAAAAGATGGCACCATTTGATTGTAGTTGTGAGAAAATACTCTCAAGTATGTCTTGATTATTTGTTTAAGAGTCTGGAATTGGACTTGAACCAATAGCCTTTTGACCCTTGTGATGAAAGGTCAATTTTAGCATTTGGATTTCAAACTAATGACAAATGGGTATTTGGTTACTTTTGTGAAGGTTGTAAAAATACGGTGAGAATCTTCTGAAACCATGACTTAACCTAGTATGGGTCAAATAGCAGGTGACTGCAAAGTCCCTGGAGTATACCTGGAAGACTGCAGATACTGTAGCGGTTTATGGTAAGGTTGTTAATATTTAAAGGCATTAATTTGCTTTTGATTTAGATTATTGTCAGATTGATTTTTAACTTAGAAGAAAACCCACAGATTGAAAGATTTTAGTCTAGGTTTTGGAGGAGGTCTAATTGGAGGTCATAAGCAAATATAGATTATCTCCTAAAATGTATAGGACAGTCTAGGAAAGCTCTGTTATCTTGATTTAAAGGTTTAGTTTGTGATACATCCACAACCAGGAATATTTAGTTAGTAGCATTCAAAGTAGTAAAAGACCTGAGAAAGCCTCCAAGCTTTCAGTTTTGTGAATATTTATGTGAGAAGACTTCACGGTTCACATAACTGGGATGAATCAGTTAAGTCAAACTTAAAGATTTGATATGGAAGGACAATTCAAAATTGGAAAATAGTCTTACGCACAGCAAATTCTCATCTATTCTCTAATTCCATCAGTTTACAGCTATTTGAATCCAGAAAAATTGTACATCTATATCTATTTAATTTTTTTTCCATTTATGTAATGCTTCTTTTCATGATAAAAATAAATGTGTGTGTGTGTGTGTGTGTGTAATATATATTTTAAATATAAAAAATCTATATATATTCTGGGATCTGATTTCCCCAATAGTGACATCAATCATGACACACTGATCAGAGTGCTACAGTTGAGCCAGGATTGAGGTTGTTGCCCAGGTTATATATTAAAGAAAAACTGAAAGAACTGCGGGTGCTGTAAAACAGGAACAAAAACAGAAGTTGTTGGAAAAGCTCAGCAGGTCTGGCAGCATCTGTGAAGATCAGAGTTAACGTTTCGAGTCCGGTGACCCTTCCTCAGAACTTTGGCTACATGTGTTATTCTTTTTATTTTCAATTTTGTTGAACATTCAAAAAAAGTAGATTTCAAATATTCAGAACTACATCCCAACCCATTGTTTATCCTGACATTATTTCTGTCATTCCAGGTGTTTGAAGAGCTGCTTTTGGATGCTGACTGGAGTGTAAATGCTGGCAGTTGGATGTGGCTATCATGCAGCTCCTTCTTTCAACAGTTCTTTCACTGTTATTGTCCTGTTGGCTTTGGTCGCAGAACAGACCTCAATGGAGACTATGTCAGGTAGATGTCCACCTGCCTCTTTTTTTGCTCTGCTTGATACTTTAATGATGTACATTAACGCAAGTAAAGCATTGTAGGTGGGTAATATTAAGCATATTAGAAATTTGTGGGTGCAGACTTTTCTTGGGAAATTGCTTTTTTATCCATGTTTTGAAAGACTTTTTACCTGTTCAGTGTCAGGTGCTTGAGATACAAAAATGCAAGTTATCTTTAAGTTCTTGCTACTCACATTGAAAGTTCATTAACATCTATCAATTCCAAGGCACCAGAAACATTTTAAATGGTTAGTGAAATGGTTGCTAATAAATTGTTAATAAGTTTCAAAAAGTGGACACAATTCACAGATGTCAAAACTGTTTGTGAAGAGTAAATAAAATTATTCTGAAATAATTCATTCTTCTGTTATACAACTATGTTTTACAACTACTCATTTCAAACCAATTTGCTTCTCACCCTTCCCACAAAACTGTGTAGTGGTGTGATGCTGCACTGAGTTGCATCCTTTATTAGTTGGAGAGTGAAGAGTAACTGTGGGCAATGAGAGTGGCTAAGAAACATCTTTAACTTAACTCATGTTCAGCTTTTGAATGCTAGTTTTGAATATGGCAATGGCAATGTGGTTCATGCTCTCCCTCATGGTCTATGGAATGTTGATGGGACTGAGAAACCATTACTGAGTGCATGGTGGGTGTTGACAAAGGGGCATTGGCAAATAAATGCACAACTTATTTAATTTTGATCTCTTGTATATCTCTTTACATGGTCCCATACAATGCCTATCCATCTAGACTTGAGAGAATTCTGTAATTATAATATTAGAGTATAGAAGAGGCCCTTTGGCCTATCGAGTCTGTGCTGAGCTATCTACACTAATTCCAATGTCCAGCACTTGGCACATAGCCTTGAATGTTATGACATTTCAAGTGCTCATCCTTATACTTTTTAAAGGTTGTGAGGTTTCCGCCTCTGCTGTCTTCCTACCACCTTCTGGATAGAGTCAGAGTCATACAGCACAGGAACAGACCCTTTAGTCTAACCAGTCCATGTTGAACATAATCCCAAACTAAACTAGTCCCACCTGCCTGCTCCTGGCCTATATCCAACTCATTCAAATTTGTGAGACATGATTTTCCTCTCGCAAAACCATGCTGATTATCCCTAATCAATTTTTGCCTCCAAATGTTTATAAATCCTATCTTTCAGAATCACCTCCAACAACTTACCCACAACCAAAGCCAAACACACAGGTCTGTAGTTCTCCAGATTCTTCTTATGACCCTTGTTAAACAAAGGCAGAACATTAGCCACCCTCCAGTCATTGGGCACTTACCCATAGTTATAGCTGATGCAGATATTTCTGCAAGGGGCCCCGCAATTTCCTCCCTTACTTTCCACAGTATTCTGGGATACACTAGATCAGGTCCCAGAGATTTATCCACCTTGGTATTCTCTAAGACCTCCAGCACTTCCTCTTTTGTATTGTGAACTGTTTTTAAAAGATTGATATTTATTTCCCTGAGTTCTCTACCCTCCGTTTCTTTCTCCACAGTAAAAACTGACATGAAATATTCATTTATCATCTCTCCAGTCTCCTGGGATTCAAACACAAAGACGACCCCTTTGATCTTTAAGGGGCCTTTCCCTCTCTATAGTTACCCTCTCTATAGTTACCCTCTTACTCTTAATTTACTTATAGAATCTCTTTGGATTATCCTTAACCTTATCTGCCAATGCTATCTCATATCCCCTGTTTGCTTTCCTGATTTCCTAAGAATTCCCCTACACTCTTGATATTGATTTAAGAGATTCATTTGAACCTAGTTATCTATATCTAATACAAGGTTCTGTTTTATTCTTGACTAAACCTCAATATCTTTATTCATCCATTGTTCCTTAATCTTACTTTCCTTACCCTTCACTCTAACAAGAACATAATGCCTCCAAACTCTCGTCATCACACTTTTGAAAGCCTCCCACTTGTCAGACGTCATTTTACCTGTGAACAGTCAATTCCAATCAATTTTCTAAAGTCTTTGTCTCATACCATTAAAATTTGCCTTACTCCAATTAAAAATTTTTAACTTCTATGGAAGACTTATGCTTTTCTACAACCGTTCTAAAACTAATAGAATTATGATCGCTAGACCCGAAGTGTTCCCCAACTTTCACTTCATTCACCTGCTCTGCCTTATTACATTTTTATTATTATTATTATTATTACATTTTTCCGCGAGTCCATGCAAAGCCTCCTGCCCTTTACCTTAAAATTATGCCCTCTCATTATTGACCATTCAACTAAGGGAGACAGCTGCTTTGTATCCACCCTGTACATTTCCCTCAAATCTTGTACAACTCAATCAAGTCACCCCTTAGCCTTCTCTGCTCTATAGAAAACAACCCAAACCTATCTAGTCTCTCTTTATCGCTGAAATTCTCCATCCCAGGCAACATCCTGGTTAATCTCTGCTACAAATCTTCCAGTATAATCACATTGTTCTTTTAGTGACCAGAACTGCGCGCAGGACTCCAGCTGTGGCCTAACCAAAGTTTTGAACATCCGTAGCATAACCTCCTTGCTTTTAGAAATGATGCTTCAACTGATAAAGACAAGTGTCCCATATAGACACACAGAAGGCTGGAAGAACACAGCAAGCCAGGCAGCATCTGAAGGAAAGGCCCTGAAGAAGGGTAATACCCAAAACATTGACTGCTCCTTTCCTCCGGATGCTGCCTGGCCTGCTGTGTTCTTCCAGCCTCCTGTTTGTCTACCTGGATTCCAGGATTTGAAGGTTTTTTTGTCTGTAACTAAGTGTCCCATATGTCTTCTTAACTACCCTATTAAACTGTCCTGCTGCCTTCAGGTGGCAGTATGTGGACAAGCAGCCTAAGATCTCTGTTCCTCAGAACTTCCTAGTATCCTGCCATTCATTGAGTATACTTTATCCTGTTATTTCTTGCAAAGTGCATCACCTCACACTGATCAGGGTTAAATTCTACCTAGCACTGATCTGCCCATCCCATCCATATCTTCCTGTAACGCAAGACCTTCTTCCTCAGTACCACCTGGCCAATCTTTGTGTAGTCTGCAAACACACTGATCATTGCCCCCATTGAATCACAGAATCTCTACAGTGCAGAAAGAGGCCATTCACCCCATTGAGCCTGCATTGACCCTCTGAAGAGGATCCTCCCCAGGCCAGGTCAGAAGAGAAGCTGAAAAAGTAAAAATAAGCTGCGGGTAGCAGAGAATAGATAGTCAGTGCTGAAAGCAAACCATGTAATGTGATAATTGGCTTGAGGGTGGCTGAAAATGGGTGGGCTTTGCTTAAAAATATCCCATGTCATAACACTGTGGGAGTGGGTAAAAATCATGGAAGGATAGAATCAGGCTCTAAAGTTATTGAACTTGATATTGAGTCCCAGAGACTGCAAGATGTCCAGGTGGAAAATTAGATGCTACTATTCAAGCTCGCACTGAGGCTTACTGGAAAACTGCAGCAGGCCAGTATCAGAAATATTGGAGGGGAACACAGTGATGTGTTGAAGTGGCAGGCAACTGGAAGCTCTGGGTCATTTTTATGGACAGAGCATAGGTGCTCTGCAAAGCAGTCACCTTGTCTGTGTTTCGTCTCCCAATTTAGAGGAGATTACATTGTGAACATTCAATATGGTCTACTGCATTTTCTGAAGTACAGTTAAATTGCTGCTTCACCTAGAAGGTATGTTTGGGGCCAGGGATGGTGAGGAGGCAGGAAGTAAATAGGGAGGTATTACACGTTAAGCGATTACTTGGATAGGTGCCGTGGACATATGAGGAGATGTTGGGAATAGAGGAAGAGTATCCCAGAGGGAATCCACCCTGAGGAATGTTGACAAGGGAGGAAGGGGGAGGGGAATATATCTAGTCTTGGCATGCTGTTGGAGGTGATGGAAATGGTGGCTTACAATCTTTTGGATGCAGAGGCTGATGGGGTGGTAAGTGAGGCCCAAGGGGACCCTATCATTTAGAAAGGGTGAGGGTAGAAGCATGAGAGATGGGCTGGACATGGCTAAGGACCCTGTCAACCCTGATAGTGGCTATCCTCATTTGAGGAAAAAGGTGGGCACTTCTCAGGCTCCCCTGTGGAAGGTGACATCTTCAGAACAGATGCAATGGAAATGAAGAAAATGAAGAATGGGATGGAGTTCTAGTAGGAAGCAGTGTGTGAGGATTGGGTTAGGGTTATGATTATAGTTGAGGTAACTGTGGAAGTTGGTGGGTTTGTAATTTATATCAGCGGTCAGCCTATACCAAGAAAATACAGCGTAGTATCACCAGAATGGTACTGGGATTAAAAGGGTTCATTTAGGAAGAGCAATTGGAGAAACTAAGTTTGTAGCTGTAATATAGCCAATTAAATGAGAATTTGACTGAGATTTTTAGGATTTTGAAAAGAAATGTTAGGAGAAATACTGAAGTTTTCTCTTGCTGATGGCTGTGACTAGCCCAAGGGACATAAAACCAAGCCAAGCCATTCAGAAAAGAACTGAAAACAATTGCTGGAGATCACAGCGGGTCAGACAGCATCCATAGAGAGAAAGCAAGCTAATGTTTCTGGTCTAGATGATGCTTCATCAGAGCTGTAGTGAAGTGTGGAGGGGACAGCACTTATGCTATATTTGGGTGGGGCCGGAGCAGGGATTGGGGGTGGTGGGTGTACAGTGGAGAAAAGATGTTGATAGTTCAAATTAAGTGATCTTTTCTCCACCAGCACCCTACACCCACCACCCTACTCCCTGCTCACCACCCCCCCACCCAAATATAGCATAAATGCTGTCCCCTCCACACTTCACTTCAGTTCTGATGAAGCGTCATCTAGTTTAAAAATGTTAGCTTGTTCTCTCCACGGATGCTGTCTGACCTGCTGTGATCTCCAACATGCAGTGTTTTCAGTACTGATTTCAGCATCTGCAGTAATTTGCTCTTACGTTCAGAAACGAAGATAGTTAATGTTCCTTTC